TTTTGAAGTGTCTTTTGATTCCTCTGGCAATCTTGCTCGCAGTTTCATTATGATGCGAAACAACAAGTCACTGCCACGGTTGGACTTGATTTTTTTGAAAATTATTCTTATTATTATAATTTTTTTGTTGGTCTTGATTTTCTTATCAAAGGCCAACGGCCTTTGAGGTATCATCATTTGAACTGTCCGGCCCTAGGTGATTCAGATTTGCAATACTTTACTCACGTGCTTCATCTGCTTCGAGTGGAGTTCAAACTCAGGTCTGTATTTCAACAGTTCAGCAGTGTGCTAACTGAGCTAGACCAGTTGGTTTGGTCTTGATTTTACGTTTTTTTGAATAGGGAAAGGTTTCTCTGCTAAGAAGTCCGCCGCTGCTGCCACAACACCGAAGTCAGGAGGATCTGGTCCCTTGACTGTTGTTTTCCAGGACAGAGCCAAGGATCATGCTGCAGACGAGTCTGGCAGTTGCATACGCAGGGACAGGAAGCTGTTCATGGTGAGTCTCCGTGTTACCTTTGTTTGTTTGTTTGTTTAAAATGCGAGTGCCGGCATTTCTGTTTGCGCTTCTCTATGCGTAGCAAATTTTATATTGCCGTGCTGATTGTTTTCAGTTTTGTTTTCTCAATATGTTGTGAAGGCCCAAGGGGAGGGGAGGGGTCTCGAGATGTAAAGCGAACCTTTAACCCTCACATGGAGATCTATTGAACTGAACCGGCATTTGCTTTTGTAGTGGTTAAAGGTTGCTTTACATTCGGGGAAGTTGCTGGGGGGGGAGGGGGAGGGGGAGGGGTCTGATGCCCGGAATACCCGGGCATGGAAATAAGTGGGCTTTGCATTAGGGGCTTTCCACACATCCTCAGAAGAGCCCAAATCTGGGCTCCTTTCGTTTTTTTTGAGTATTGGAGGGGGGAAGTGGGGTACAAACCGGTTTTAAAGGGGCTGAAGGGGTTTAAAGGGGGTTGCCTTAGACTGGTTCAGTTATTTTTCTTTCTTATCTTCGATTCAGTGAGGAAATGTATTCTTGATTTGCAGCCTTCGCTGAGCTGGGAAGAAGAGATTAGTACCGGGAACCTGTGCTGCGCTTAATATGAAATGTGGACTTACCTTGCATTGTGCACTCTGATCTACTGGCCATGGTCTAGGTCCTGATCATGCGAAGTGTCACTCACGTCAGAAGGCATTGTCAGATTTTACCCTCAGCCGAAAAGTAGTTTGGTTTTGCGATTCTACACAACCCTTTTTGGGGGGGGGGAATGTTTATTTTCATTTTTTGTACGCTGGGCTTGCCGGGAACCCTGCCCGGGGGTCATGCCCGGCCAGGCACCTGGGCATGTATCTGGGCACAAGGTGGGTGCCCAGGCCCCCGGAAGAACACTGTAGCCATGTAGGACTTTGGCATCATTTTTCTGTAGAAGCGTTGTTGTTGGAATGTTAAAGTTTAAAGGTTCCTGAATGGCTTCAGGACCTTCAGGTATATTTTGCTCTGCACATGCACTGAAACGGTTTTCACCTTTATGGTAGCAGGCGCAGTTCCCCGGGCTCGATCCCTAGACCTCGCCCTCAGTTGACCCGTGTGTGCTTGAAGTCGCGACCTGTGTCTTGAAAGTCTTCTGTTTGCTTGTTGTAGGTAGTGTGGTCGCTGGGTCTTGAACAGTAGGTCTGTAGATTAGAAGTCCTAGCAGTGGTAGGAGTCGTAGCTGCTACAGTACCGAAAGGTCAAGGTCGTATCTGTTACAGTACCGAAGGGTCAAGTCCTCAGCCTTCCGGAAGGTTCGGAAGTGGCTCTTCGTGGAGTCCTAGGCTACAGTCTGGAGGCAAGTGGGCAAGTGGGCAGTCTAACCCAGCCCAGTCATCGGTACCCAGTCCCGGTTGCACCTTGTCAAGTCAGCAAGTACCATGTGGGACTGTGTGCACCCCAGGCCCAGGGTCCAAGGGCAGACTTTCGACAATCCGGAGTACAAATAAAGAGGCAGCGTCAAGTCATTGATTAATTCTGCCTGTGAGCTGTGCGGAAGCGCTGTTGGAGCGTCTTGTGTACGAAGGTGTGTAGGTGCCCGTTGAAGAAGGGGGCTAAGAGGAGGAAGATCGGCCATAGCCGATAGTCAGTTAGTAGAGGGGAGAGACGGTGGCCATAGCCGCCACATCAGCAAAGTTAGTGTGTTAGTGTGTGTGTAAGTGTGTAGGCGTGAAGAGTGTGTGTGAGTGGGACATACAGGGAGATCCAGGTTGTGTGTTTGTACAAGGTGCTGAGAGTACAGTGTTCGGCCATAGCCGAACGAGACAAGTTTGAATCTGAACTGTGTTAGTGGCTTCGTTATCTCTGAGCTTTGTGTGGGCGCAAGTTGCCAGCTTGATCGTCATCTGTTTGTACGCATGCTGACTGTTAGGAAAGACAAGTCTGATTCCATTGGTATCGGAGCTGGTTCCTGCTGTTCCTCCGTCAGGAAAGACAAGTCTGCCACATCATCAGCGCAATCGTAATCACCATCGTCCTCGCCGTCATCGCCCGGCCCGCCAAGAAGAGGAGATGCCATGTAAGCATCTGCCGTTGTTGTAGGAGAGGAGCGAAGAGGGCGCCACGTCAGCAATCATGTGCCCCTGATGCCGCACAAGTGATTGCGCGCCTGTATTGTGTGCTGCCAGTTTATCGAGTGCGGCCGTTTGCCGTTGCGTGCTTGCTATCGATCACGAGTGCCGCCCGCCATGTTGCGCGCGCTCTGCTGATTGCACATGCCCGTTTCTATTTCGCGCCACCCGCCGTCGCGCAGCTGCTGCTATCATTGCGTGCCAAGCCGTTGTTGCGCGCCAAGCTTTGCACGTTCGCACACGATCTCGCCCCGTGCCGGCTAGCTATCGCGTGCTCCTGCTGCCTTGTGCATGTGCTGCCTTTCCCTTGCACCTGTAGAAGTCCACGCGCCCGTTTCCCGCCAAGAGCTGGTGTTGTCATCACGCACTGCCAATTCGTCGCGCACAGCTCGAGAGGGGGGGATTGCTTGCTTGGGTGCGCGCTAAGGATCGGGCCACCCGAGGCGAAGAAGGTCGTTGGAGGAGAAGGGTGTGTTTGCCACTGAATTGTTACTGCTCGAAGTGATGATCACAATCCATTTTCTGCCGTCATACGGGGCCCTTTCAGCATGGGCCCCACTGAAGGGCCGGCCCGTTTTGGCATGAACCCCAAAGGGACCCAACAGGGGCCCTTTGGGGCCCATAGGCTTTCTGCACCCCACGTTCATCGGGGCCCTTTTGGGCCTAAAAAGACCCCCCCCCTCCCCCCGCCCCCCGAGACACAAATAAAAGTGTGGAGAGTTTTTAGCCAGGATGGATGAGATGCGTTTATGGAGTGGAAAGGGAATTGTTTTTGTTTTTTGTTTTTTTTTTTCTCGGGGGAAGGGAGGGTGTTTTGAAGTGTGACTGTTTGTCTATTTTCTGGTGTTTCAAATGGTGAAGACTGGCCATAGGGCCTCGCCACATGGCACACGAAACAAATGAAAAGAGTGAATCTTCCCACAGAAACTCGAAAGATTCATCTGTGCCTTTGAGTAGTAACAAATGTCTCTTGCCACCTTCTATGGGAAGATGCACTCATTTTTTATGATGTAGTGTGACATGTGGTGAGTCCCTTATACGCTTATGGGGACCACGGGTGTGTTGAAGGCCTAACATCTGAGTCACTGGTGCATCCTGGTCGTACTACTGGACAGATCCCAATGCCAGATCTCAATGCAGAATCGGGGAGGAGGACTCTGGCAGGGATGTACCTTCTGTGGTGCTGTTGGATGTCAGCAGAAGGGGGTTGGGAAGGGGAGGGAGACTGTACTACTGGACAGATCCCAATGCCAGATCTCAATGCCGAATCGCGGAGGACTCTGGGAGGGATGTACCTGCTGTGCTGCTGTTGGATGTCAGTAGAAGGGGGTTGGGCTGGGGAGGGAGATGGCATGACAAAACTCCGGACAGTCGTCGCGTGTTGCAGATCTTGATAAGTTGGGCATGACAAAAGTGAAGACGCGCGCTGAGTTGGAGGAGGAGAAGGAAGATGAGATGCATTCCAAACAGTTGTTGGCATGGATCAAGGAAGCGGAGAAATTCAGTAAGTCGATCTGGAAGGCACACAAAAGCTGGAAAATCTCTTGTAGGGGGTGGGGGAGGGGGCTGCTTTGTGGAGGTGCTTTTTGATAACGTTCCATTGTGAGCGCGGAATATACATCTCTGCAGAGTCGTCTGATCGTTTCCTTTCGTTTTTTGACTGTTGTTGTAGGCATGGTGCAGACAGGAGCAGCCTTCCTTCGGACTCTGTCATTCCTCGGCTATTTTGGACCTCTCTCTCTTTTTGCTTCTTTGGCTTTCTGTCGTGGTCTTCTTCTTTGAATGTCTGCTTTATACTCCGTCGTCTTTGGGTTTCTTTTACTATTCTGTTGGTGGTAGGCATGCATGGCACATAGGCAGCCTTCCTCCCGACTGTCATTCTTTGGATCTTCTACCGTCTTCACCCGAACAAGACGCCCGGTCGTTATCGCGGCATCTGGTCTGAAAGTTGGCCCAAAGACAGCTATAACGACCGGGTGTTCTATTCAGATGAAGACGGTAGTCGTCTCTGATCTTCTGTAGCTACTCTTTGGATCTTCTACCGTCTTCACCTGAATAAAAACGCCCGGTCATTATTGCTGCATCTGGTCTGAAAGTTGCCCCAAATACAGTCATGATGACCGGGCATTCTCTTCGGGTGAAAATGGTTAAGTCCTCTCCGGTCTTCTTGGTCTATTTTAGAGCTCTCTGGTCTTCTCTGGCCTTGCTGCTATCTACATAGTCAATCGGCCTGTTATCAGCCTCCAGATGAGTCGGTGAAACTCCGACGAAACAGTTTGCCACAGCCCCTCGTTTGTTGTCCTCTTCTCCCTCCCTCTCTGCCTACGGTTTACCGGGCAGCTCTGTTTGACTGTTGATTGTGACGATATATAGTCAATCTGGGTGGCTGTTATTGCTGCTATCTACGTAGTCAATATGGCTGTTATCTAGATATATAGTCAATCTGGGTGGCTGTTATCTATAGTCAATCTGGCTGTTATTCTGCCATATAAATGCTATACAGGACTGGTAAAGGTTCTTATCTATAGTCAATCTCGGAAAGCTGTGAATGGTGGCTGTAGAACTCTACTCTCAAGTCTCAACACATCTCAGGCCGCAATGCACACAAACCAGTCCTCTATAGCATTTTAGGGCTAAACTGTTTCGTCGGAGTTTCTGTGCAACAATCAGATGTATCTGATTGTTGCACAGAAACTCCGACGAAACAGTTTGTGACAGCCCCTCGTTTGTTGTGCTCTTCTCCCTCCCTCTCTGCCTACTGTTTACCGGGCAGCTCTGTTTGATGATATATACAGCATGCACAGCATGGACATCATGACTCGCCGATATAGGTACTAGGAGGTAATTGTCACACAGACGTCAACTTCTGCCGACTTATGATGTGTGTCACTTGCAATGCGAGATGTCACACAGACACTGCAAGCGATGCGAGTTACGCACATCGTATGCTGGCCACGTATGATGTCTTCATCACCACCAACTGCTTACCTACGACTCATTGATTGATTCATAGCATCTGGTACAGTTTGTGATCGTCACAGATATTTGGCTGGCTTATGATTTGCGTGACTTGTGATGCTTGATTTGTGACACAGACCGCAAGCATGGGAGGGACCCCCGAAGTCCCTCCCAACTAACTAGGGGGTGCGAGCTGACTATCTCAGCTGGTGAAGCTGCAGCGCGCCGCAGGAGGCCATGGGGATTCGACCGGAAGGCGTATGGGGAAATCAAACCCACGACCTCCTGAATGCAGCTTTCGTGCTCTACCAACTGAGCTAGGCCGGTGGCCCCATCGCCATGCTGTTTTATATATCACCAGTCACTGAAGTCCACAATCTTTTTTTTTTTTTTTTAATTGCTCGCCGACGAAATTGATTTCAAAACAAACTCCTTCCCAAGTGCCCCCCTCTCTAGCCTTGTCCCAAGAAGTATTGCTCTGCTGGGAGGTTGCAAGAACTAACACCCGTCTTCAATGCAAACCTGTTCGAACCTGCTTGGACCTTTCAACGCGAACCTGTTCGAACCTGCTTGGACCTGTTCGAACCCGTGAACTAAAGTCTGCAAAGAACCAAAGGTACAAACAGGATTCCCGGGGTTACGAACGAGTCCGTCGACGTTTAGGTCTTGGAAGGACGTGTGTTCGTTGGACTAGAAGATCCAGGACACAGAGGGAGATATCAGGGGAGCCATCTGAAAAGCATAGAGCCAGAGAGAACGAGGATAGGCAAAAAGGCCAGGCCATCGACAAAAAACCGACATCTGTCTGTCTTCTGTCTAAGCCTGGGCCTTGGCTACTGCCTACTCCATCTTCGCAACCTTGAGAGTAAATTGGCGATCAATTCACTGAACTTGGCAGTAAATTCACTGAAATTGGATTTGCAGGCATGTGAGGATGTTTTTTTTTTTTTTTTTTTTTTTTTTTTTTTGGGAGGGGGGGGAGGAGGGGGGGAAGGGGGGAGAGGAGAGGGACACAAGGATTTCTTATATTTTTTCGAAGCTGGAAACGGGGTTGTTTGTATTTTCCCTGATGCAAGAATCGTCACAATGTTGTTCTAATCATCATCCACTGCAATTGACTGCACTGTTCTTTTCATTCTCTTTGTGTGTCTGTTTCCCATCTGATCTGTCTAATGCTTGCCCCAGAATAGACGCAGATTTAAAAAAAAGAAAAGAAAAAAAGAAAAAAAGAAAAAAAGAAAAAGGAAATTGACAATAACCAGATGGAGTCCATGCGTACGTGCAAAACAAATCTGCACCCTTCTGAGCATGTTGCAAGAAATAGTTGCATTGTTGTCCTTTTTTGCTATGAAACTCTGACGAAACAGTTTGTCACAGCCGTTTGTCGTCCTCTTCTCCCTCTCTCCCTCTCTGCCTACGGTTTACCGGGCAGCTCTGTTCCATGATATATAAACAGTTTGTCACAGCCCCTCGTTTGTTGTCCTCTTCTCCCTCTCTGCCTACGGTTTACCGGGCAGTTCTATTTGACGATATATGTGTGTATACATATATAGTCAAAGAGAGCTGCCTGGTAAACCGTAGGCAGAGAGAGAGAAGAAGACAACAAACGAGGGAGGGGCTGTGACAAACTGTTTTGTCGGATCGGAGTTTCTCATCAAAAGGCTGAACCCTCAACAGTCTGCAGAATCCCGTAGTAACTGATTACACTGTAAGTGATCATCCACCTTAACCCCGGTTGCGGTTGTGGTAAAGCATCAACGACTGCCCGACAACTGATACCCTGAGGTGGTGGGGACCACCAACCACTGCCGTAAAGGTACCCGTGACGAAAATCAAAGCAGACTATCACTCACCCACACCAGATGGAAAACTCTACAGACTGTCGGTTCACACCCCATCACAAGCAAGGAAAACACCCACATATAGATAAACAGAATGTTGTGCCCCGGGGGCCTTTCCATTCTGGGGCACGCCAGTCCGGGCTCTTTTCATGGGTAAGTAAAAAATTACATAGTGGATCTCATCCACGCCCCTCCCCGTTGTGGCAATGTTGTCCTATAAATCATCAGTTTTTGAAATCGGCCATCTATCCACTGAAATTGTATGCGTATGAATGTGACAGGTGCATCGCATATGGACTCAAAGAGCAAAAGGAAATGGGACATGAAGCAACTAGAAGAGCTGGGAGCCAAGGTGGGTCGGGTTCACGTTCTGCCGGCTTTGTTATTATTTATTTACATCATTTATTGCCTCTCTGTTTTATCGATTGACCGCAGTGAATTATGAAGTGAATTAGGGCCACTCACACAACTGGCTTCACCGGAACAGAACTCTGGGTCATTCTCACCGTATCTGGACAGGAAGTTGCCCCATACACAGAAATAATGACCGGACGTTTTTTTTTTTTTTTTTTTTTTTGGATGAAGATGGTGGGAGTTTTTAGACTGCGATTTGGACTTTTTAGCTACTCAGTGTACTCGCACACGGATGTAGTCAGATACATCCGGGGCTGTGTATGCATGCATAAAAAAGTCCTGATGTGAGTGTATGCTGAGAAGGTTGAAGGTTGAGACAAGGCTCATAAAGCCGGCTCCACCTTTCCTTTTTTTTCCTTTTTTCTTTTCCTTTTTTTTAAAAAATGCGTGAGTTATTATTGTGCAGGGGCCATGCTAATCTTCTCTGTGTTGTTCCAATTTTAACGGATGTCCCAAAGGACGCCTCTCTACCTGATTCCCAAATGCGAGGAAGTTAATTTCCCCTTGCTTGCCCTTCCCTTTACTTGATCGATTGGACGTGTTTTTTTTGGGAGGGGGGGGAATTGAGGGGTGGACTGGGGGGGGGGATGGGGGCGCACAACATCGCCTCTCATTGTGTATTGTGTGGAACTGTGGGCAGCAAAATTTGTCACCATTGCATAGTCGGATTGTATCTGAGATGTATCTTGACCACAATCATGTCCAGATTTCTTTGGATTTATCTTGACCAAAATAACAGGCAGTCACAATCATGTCGGAATTCCGTTGCCAAAGGTCTCAATTTGGGTTTTGGGTGGGATTTGAACCGGAGACCTCGCGGCCCAGCAGTCTCCTGCGGCTCGCTATGGGTTCACCAGCCGAGCCCTGTGTAGGGCTTGGTAGGGTTTACCTTCCTCTCCCATCCATTGCTTGGGGCTGAGGAAGCTGTGTTGCTTAGACACGGGAGGAGGTCGGTGCCAACCCATAATTGTTAACTCGTCCCGGCTTGTGTGCATAGATAGGTTATAGCCTTAGACCCTGCACCTTAGACCCTGCACCTTAGACTCTAATCTTAGACCCTAGATGCCCTCGGTGTGTGGATGGGCCCTGATCCCCTGCTTGTTCGGGGTAGGTAGTGCAAGGTACAGTTCTGAGAGAAGATGATAACATAGTAAAAAAAACAAAATGTGGCTGTGCCCCAGGTGAGGAGAAGAGAAGCCTGCATTACAAAAAGACAAAAGAACAAAAGAAAAAAGAAAACCGGAAACTTGTTTGCTGCTGTGTGCGGATTTGAACCTGGGCCCTCACTGTAGAGCATCCATCGGCTGACTGTAGCCACATAGCGCCCAAGACTTCTGTGTCGGTTCGTCTGGGCTGTCATCTTCACCTCACTAGAATGCATGATCTTTATCAGTGCATCTAGACTGAAAATGTGCCAAATACAGCTATAGTTCTCGGGAAGATGCTGTGACCCAGGCCTCCAACCGCCCTGCTTCGTCTCGACTTTTCCTGTCGTCAACTGTTGTCTGCGTCGTGTTGGTCGTGTCGCGGCTGGCTGTACTTTGACTTGCATTCAGTTGGTCTACCAACAACTTGCATTCACGGAGTAACTGGTGTAGGAGTCGTACTATCACTGAGTGGCTTCAAATTTATCACGTAGCCTTTCTCTGATGTCGGCATCATGTCCCCCAAGCCCCCCTGCATAGTCTGTGTCGTGTTGGTCGTGTCATCATTGGCGGTACTTTGACTTGCATGTGGTTGGTCTACAAATGACAACAACAACAACAAAACGATTAGTGAAAGTAGCGAGGTAGTGGCTAACTCCACCCTCTTTTTCCTTTGCATGATTTGCTTGATAGAGAGCATGAGAGAGAGAGAGAGAGAGAGAGAGAGAGAGAGAGAGAGAGAGAGAGAGAGAGAGAGAGAGAGAGAGAGAGAGAGAGAGAGAGAGA